CCCCAAAACCCCAAAACCCCAAAACCCCAAAACCCCTATCTCCTTCTCTTCTCTTGGCAAGAATTAAATTATACAAAATTTACAAAAATGTCTTTACTTTTAACATCACGCTTATCTCTCTACAAAAAGACTTCATTCAGACTTATACGCAACCCCATCAGGTTCTTCGGCCTTCACACAGGCAAATATGAGCAGTAAGATCTTTTGGATAATTTTTATGTAGATATTTGAGAATGAACCAGAAAAAGGAAACTTTAAGAGAACTTGAACTAGGATTAGCAACAGTGCAGAGAAGATTTATGAGCCAACAAATCACCAGGTATGGAGATCTTGAGATGGTCAGGTCTACCGGTGAATACAACAAGGAAAGGTATAGGCAATAAGGGTAGATTTTAGGGGATCAAGAAGGCTTCTAGATTATTATATCCATTATTTTTCAGCTTTTTCATTTTTAATTGAACCATAACAAAGTCTTTTTGAGCATCAGTCAGAAATATCATCAATTTTTCCATTTTAGTTTAGATTCAAATATCTAATTTTGTTAGGAAGTTTTTGAGGATGAAAGACATCACTTCAGAGATGGAAGGTCAAACTGTTAAACTTAGAGCAAGAGTTCACAGAACAACTGGAAAGGGTACAAAATATCTTAATTTTTAGGCAAGGCTGTCTTCTTGATCCTTAGAGAAAATTTCTCAACAATGCAAGCTTGAATGTTCTCAAATGATGTTGAACAAGAAATGCTTGATTATACCAGAAGAATTCCAAAAGAGTCTATTGTAATTATTGAAGGAACAGTCCAAGTCCCTCATAGGCCAATTAAAAAGTGTACTGAGCAAGTAGAAATACTAATAAATGGAATCTGGAACCAGCATTCCTCTCTTCCTCGTCTCCCATTGAATTTAGATGATGCTTCAAATATTGTGAGAGACCAAACTCTTGAAGACGATCTTAGTAATTTCTAAAAGTAGTATAACCTCTAGTCCCTGAAAATCAAAAAGTAGGCAAGAAAAAGAAAAAGGGTAGACAATCCATTGTAGTCGGACAGAACACCAGACTTAACAATAGAATACTAGATTTAAGAGTCCCTGCAAACCAAGCTATCATGAGAATTAGTGCGGGAATTTGAAGATTCTTTAGAGAATATCTTCAAGACAATGATTTTGTTGAGATTCATTCACCGAAACTTATCGGAGGAACATCCGAGGGAGGCTCTGAGGTATTTAGACTCGACTACTTTGGTTCAGATGCCTGCCTTGCTCAATCCCCACAATTATATAAACAGATGGCAGTAGTCTCAGATTTTGAGAGGGTCTTTGAAATTGGGCCAGTTTTTAGAGCAGAGAATTCACTCACTCCAAGACATTTGTGAGAGTTTACTGGTCTTGATCTTGAAATGTCATTTGATGACCACTATTTTGAAGTTGTTGACTTGATAAGTGAGATGTTCGGTTATATATTTGAAAGACTCAATGAAAAATACAGAAGAGAGATAGATGCAGTCCAACAGCAATATCCTTTCAAAGAATTTATTTTTAAACCAAATGTTCCCAAAATTAAGTTTACAGATGCTTGTGAAATTCTGAAAAAGGCAGGATTCCATCAAGATCCTCTTAAAGATTTAGGAACTGAGAACGAAGAGAAGTTAGGAAAAATAGTCAAAAAGAAATATAAGACTGATTTCTTTATCGTCTACAATTATCCTGCTGAGGCAAGACCATTTTATTCAATGATTAATCCAAATGATCCTGAATATACGAATTCATACGACTTTTTCATGAGAGGTCAAGAGATATTATCAGGAGCTCAAAGAATTCATGATCCAGAGATGTTAGCAGAAAGAGCAATTGTCAAAGGAATCCAACCAGAAACTATCCAGGACTACATTGATTGCTTCAAATACGGAGCATATCCTCATGCTGGTGGTGGTATTGGACTTGAGAGAGTTTTGAAGCTCTTTCTGGGGATCCATAATATCAGAAAATGATCAATGTTTCCTAGAGATCCAAAGAGACTGACACCATAAATGGCCGATCTTTAATATCATATCCATGAATTCGATCTAAAACATATTGATTGGGGTTTTGGGGTTTTGGGGTTTTGGGG